CACTGCATTAATTCGGTCAATTTGCAAAATGCAATTGTCTTTCCGGCTTGATAAACGACCTGGCGAGAGCTATCTGGCGTTGGACGGAAAAAAAATCCCATCTTTGATCCACTTGCATCATGCGAAAACCTTTTTGTGTAAATCCTTGGTGAGAGGATGTGCAGTGTGACCAGCTTGAACCCATTTGAATATCTTTAAACCTATCTTGGAACAATGTATGTGCAGGTGAACAGTTGGGAAATTATTTCTAAGCTGTGAACTAGAGAACCCATAGGAACCTACAGGAACCAGGTGGGCTCGGCAAGAAAAGCAAAACGAACGAAGTCGGATACGAAAATGACTATGACGGCACTGACATTTTATTGCACGATGATGGGTCTTTCTGGGAAGACGAATCTTCGCTGGAAACGTCACAATGAGTCATGGGACTATGCATGGAATGAAGGAAAGGAGAGTTGGGACGAATCATGGAGGCCTGCAGTTGAGGACCAGCCAAATGCAGGTGCTGCAAGTGGCACACAGGGTGTCCAATCTCTTGTGCTGAGTCCTTTGATTTCGGATGTTTTTGCCAGTTTTGCACCTAGGTTTGACACTTGAAACAGACAGTTCAAACGAATCTGAAACAGTTTGCAGCCATTTTTCATGTGATGAAATCTCAGTTGCAGGTTTACAGTGCTTGGAATCAAACAGACTGTTTTGCAATTGTGAGAACTGCATGATTGTCAGTGAAGATTTTGGTGCCAACCTGGAGTGCTGCCACGCTGCGAAACGTGAGACTGAACCATTTCTTCGACAGTTTGCCACCAGCATGTTTTTTTTCATCTCTGAATTTTTCGAGGAACCTAAATTCATTTTTGTTTCTGACAGTGAGCCTGTATTCAGTTGTTGTAGACCAGCCCACGAACTTTGGAGATGAATTGGATGACAGCAGTGATGATGAAACGCAAATAGACATGTGCCAATTGTGGAATTTGGATTTTTGCATGAACAAACCCCTCAAGTTGACTCCAATTTACTTTGTGCCATGGCCACGTCTGCATCAGGAACCAGTGTTTTGTCAGGATCTCTGCAGGAAACTTCGCATTGTGTCAAGGTCTTTGAACACGGTTTGCAAGGCATCGAGGTTGAAGGTGACACTCCAGTTTCTCAAGATCTTGTGTCGTCAGACTGTAATCGAGTTAAACTGAAAAGGGAATCTCAACCTTTTTGAATGCAGAAGACAGAGTTTCTCATGCATTTGACCTGCATAGATATTCACCAGTTTTGCATCCACTTTTATCTGAAATCATGATGGGAGACAAAAGTCAGCATTGGACTCCGGTGCAGTGCATCACACGCCACTTACGGTGGTTGTGAACTCTCAGAATGACCGCTTCAGAGCGGCAAATGGTAGCAAAGTAAACATTGATGGATCCACCACTGGGGTTCAAGAAAAAAATGATAATTTTGGGAAGATTTCCAGTGTATCGTCAGGCCAAGCTGAAACCACACCGTCCATGTCGCCACTGGCAGCACATTCGGCACCATCCGCATCCTCAGCATCATTGTCTTTTCACGCAAAGGCCCCTGCCAAGCGAGCTTTCGTCCCTTACCCTTGGGCCTCAAGTTCAATATTCTTGCAACCCCTGAAATTTCATTGGTTCGAGAACCTACTGTAGCTTATACTTATAATTAATTATGTTGGATCTCGAATATGCTGATTTCCACAAAACCCTGGAAAGCGATAGGGTACCCCCAAAAGTGATAAAGGATTTTGACGGGAGCTCACACACATACACACATATATATATATATAATGCTATACAGACGCACGCACACACACATATAATATTATATAATATAATATAATATAAAATAATATAATATAATATAATATAAGATAAGATAAGATAAGATAAGACAATACAATACAATATAATATAATTTAATATAATATAATATAGTATAGTATAGTATAGTATAGTATAATATAATCTAATGTAATGTAATGTAATAAAATATAATATAATATAATTTAATTTAATTTCCTACAATATAATAAAATATAATACAATATAATATAATATATTATAATATAATATAATAAAATATAAAATAAAATAATATAATATGATATAATTTAATTTAATATAATATAATATAATTTAAGTTAATTTAAGTTATGTTAAATTAATTTAATTTAAGTTAATTTAATTTAAGTTAATTTAAGATAAGATAAGATAAGACAAGATAACAGAATATATTCTAATATAATATAATATTATATAATATAATATAATTTAATATAATATAATATAAAATAACATACTGTAAAAATATAATATAATATAATATAATATAATATAAAATAACATAATATAAAAAATATAATATAATATATTGTAAAATGATAGAACACAATATATTATAATATAATATAAAATAAAATAAAATAATATAATATAAAATAATAGAACACAATATAATATAAAATAATATAAAATAAAATAAAATAATATAATATAATATAAAATAATATAATATAAATAAATAAATATATATATATAGATATATACATATATACACATACATAAGCATACATACAAACACACACACACACACAGACAGACAGACAGACAGACAGACAGACAGACAGACCGACAGACCGACAGACCGACAGACCGACAGACCGACAGACCGACAGACCGACAGACCGAGCGGCCGAGCGGCCGACAGACCGACAGACCGACAGACCGACAGACCGACAGACCGACAGACCGACAGACCGACAGACCGACAGACCGACCGACCGACAGACCGATCGACAGACAGAGAGACATGGATCGTCACTTTGCGTGGCAGGCGTGGCACGTATGGGCACTGGGCTGGCTCTGGTGGCGCGCTCGGTTCCCACGTGCCCCGGTGGTCGCCGCGGCTTTTTGCGTGGCAGGCGTGGCACTTGGAGACATCCATCTTCGTTCACGTGGCAGGCGTGGTACTTGGTGACATCCACCTTCGTTTCACGTGGCAGGCGTGGTACAATTACTCACGCAGGCGTGGCGCTTGGCGACATGGATCGTTACTTTGCGTGGCAGGCGTGGCACGTATGGCACTGGGCACTTGGCGACATGGATCGGATCGTCACTTTGCGTGGCTGGTGTGGCACGTATGGCACTGGGCTGGCTCTGGTGGCGCGCTCGGTTCGACGCGTCTAAAAAACTGCGCTTGCCACGCAAAATGACGATGGACACGTCTAAAGTGCTGCGCCTGCCACGAAAACTGCAACGCATCTTCTGAAAACGTCGCAAGAGTATTGTGCCTGCCACGCAAAGCGACTTTCGACAAGGTACAAAACACGTCTGAATGTCACAAAATGCACACCTGCCATGCGAAACGAAGCAACGCAACGTTTGAAACCTCCAAAAATGACCACTTTTGCAAAACTTACCATAGGCACGGCCATACGGCCTCACGCCGCGGACGGTTGCGGACGGTTGCGGTCGTAAACGCAACGTCGAGCAAACACACGTTGAAACTCCGGACCCCCAGTGAAACCGGAACCCTTGCTACGCACTCGGGAAAAAAGGGACTGGGGATATATTTGTTTCTTTATATTATATATATATAATCAGATGTTTTTCTTTTAATGAACCAGCTTAACAGAATGATAGGCTATACCCCGATGGTAAACTGATTGAGGTTAATGAAATATAATTATGATATAACTACTAACAAGCAATCGGATATTTCATGGGTATATAACCAATGACGATCTGGTTGGTGGTTTCAAACATGTTTTACTTTCAACCCCAAACTACTTGGATGGCTGACCAAATTCTTTAGATTGAAAACGCTAATCAAAGAAGTGTTTGTCTCAAAATGTGGGATGGGGGTCACGTGCCCCAAATGGGAATCTTAAACATCGAAAACAAAAAAATGAACCAATGAATAGTGGATAGGGTGTGTCAAGATAAAATTCACCATGATGTACCCAAATTATGGCAACTGAAATAGGCAAATTGATTTTCCAAAGCATTGGATTTTTGGGGTACCCCGTTTTGGACAAACCCGTGACCAACCCATCGTAAATGGAGGTTTACAGCTGGGAACACCTTGTCTATACATGGATATCAAAAAAGGATCTGGGGTAGTTTTTAAAGATTTCGACAATGATTGCACATTGCCGATCCATTGTTGGGGTTGAGGGTACATATCTTGAAACACAGGGCCCCATTCGGGGGGAGACCTGCTGAGGATGGAGGGCGCTAATGATATTGAATCCACAAGGACCTCATCATTCGTTTACGATGATTTATGACGGATCCCCAGATTGGCCGTAAGTATCACAGGTTCGCGAAATGAACCACACCATTTTTTGGGGACCGGCTGGACATCCATTTACCAGTTATTTTCATGTCAACTACAGGGTCCCAGGGTTTTGTCCCACAACCAAACATGATCATTTACTGTATCCAGACGACACGTTGAAGTTGTTCCCCACGCATTTGTTGAAATTGTTTAAACTGTTTGGTGCTAGAAACCAGAGTGACCCTTCCAGAAAAGTTCGCACAAACACTTGTTTGTTTGAAACAACGCATATATCTCAGCTGGCAAAACAATGGATGAATATGGATGTGTTTTGGCCTGCCAACTTCTGAATCGACAAGAAATGACTTGAAAAATTATCGTAGACATTTTTTTTTGTGGCAGTTTATCAGCTTGCACTGCATCATTCCGGATCATTTGAACTGCCAGCTGTTGGATAAAGAGGCGCCAATTTGGCAATGTCACCTATACGCAGATGCACTCGCACAGCAATTAAACACAACAAACAAAATCGCAATTTGTTTCTAATTTTTGTTGTTTACAATGCAGGAACAATCAATTCACATGTCAAAACATCGTACCTGTGCAAATTGTGCGAATCCCATTTGCATAATTTTTGCACCACAGATTGCAGTCTGTGCTTTTATGCAGAGGCAATGTTGGTGGATTGCTTTGCTGACCATTGCCACTGTTGTGGCAACTTTCACTATTGCATGGACAATCTGGAGTGACTCATTTTTCTTCAAATCTTTAATGTACCAAAATACGATGATTGAAACCAATGCAACTTTTTTGACGTGGAATGCTTGGGGACTTCGGACTCCGCAAAGTACAATGAATGAAACAACTTCACAGATTGCTTCAACGACAACCACAACAGGCACCACAACCGCAACGATGAATTTGGAAAGTACAACAAACACCAGCATTTTGTCGCCCACAGCAGGGCCTACCAATCCAGCCGTGCCATCGACACTGACTACTTCAACACGGGTCACCGGCCTGCAAAATGCGACGTCCACCACCAGTGTGCCCGGATCATCAGCATCATCGGTCACCAGCCAGAATGCAATGTCCACCACCAGACCCAGATCAATGTCATTGAAACCAAACATTGTTTGGATTATGGCAGATGATTTGGGATGGGGTGAAGTGGGTTTATATCCCGCCAACTCTAAACACGGTCGCCTGCGCACTCCGTACTTGGATCAGTTTGGGCGTGAAGGGGTGGCCTTCCGCCACGCGTATGCGGGCTATTGTGTGTGTGCACCCAGCAGGATGAGTTTCTTCACGGGAAAACATAGTGGTCGATTTGTCGCCATGGGACTGGATGGCATGTCCTTGAGGCCTGAGCAGAACGTCTCCACGTTCCCAGAGGTTCTTCAATCAGCTGGCTATGTCACCGCTGCATTTGGGAAAACCTCGCCCTTGACCGCGCCCTTGCGTCAGGGTTTCCAGGTTTTTCTTGGACAGGTGTCGCAAGGACTTTGCCACAACATGTATCCCAGGCACATTGATCAAGGGAAGGGGCAATTGAATTTCGCGTTGTTCGGAAACTTTGCCAACAAATCACGGGAGCTTTGCATGGAAAATCCCGAAAGATACAATTACACCATTGACGCGTTCCATGATGCGGCCATGGCATGGTTAGAAGAAGTTTCAAAGGCTCCAGGCCCTCCTTTTTTTCTGTACATGAGCTACACCATTCCACATGCTGGTGGCTGGGGGGATTATCCCAAGATGCCGGAGTCGGGGCAGCCAGTGCCCTTGGACATGGGCTATACAGACAGAACCTGGCCCTCTGTCGAGCGAGATCATGCTGCAACTGTGAGCTACATGGATCTCAAGATCGGTCAGTTGATGAAACACTTGCAGACTTTGGGAATTGATGAAAAAACCATCTGTTCCTTAGTTGAATTAGGATTGATGTATAACTGTATAACACAATAAAGGAAAAACACACAAATTATTTATCATTTTTTTCGGCATCAGCGAAGAAGGTGTTTCTTGAATTCGATTTCTTCCAGTTCTGTTCCTGGCGGATCATTTTGACCAAAATTTCAACCAATGATGCATGCGATAAAACATCTATGTTTGGATCCAATTCTTACTGCTAGCTGATTCAGCTGATCACATCTTTCGGACACAATAACAGTCTATAGCATAGCATTTTCGATCATTTTCGTTTGTCCAAAAAAAGGGCTATTGACTGCGTAGCACCGAGGCTTCTTCGCGTCTGACAATGGCGCACATTTCGAAGCCGGACATCGGATGGGTTTCTTCGATTCCACGGGTGGTTTGCCCGGCCACAAGGCGGGAATGTTCGAGGGAAGCGTGCGCTCACCCAGCATGGTTCGATGGCCTGGGAAAATTGCTCCTGGCCGCTGGTCCGATTTCCCCTGGGCTTTTTGGGATGTGTTCCCAACCTTGGCGTCCTTGGCAGGGGTGGAAGTGAAATCCTACAACTTGGATGGGGTCAACATTCTGCCCCAGTTATTAGGAGATTTAGGAGACGACAAAGACGACAATCAGATTCAGCCTGATCAGCCTGATCTTTCGCGTTATTTTTACTTCACTTGGGTGGGCGATGGTGGCCGTTTCATTCGCACCAAAGATCCCTTCATCAAGCGCAATGGGCCCGGGTACACTGTGCGCCGGGGTCGCTGGAAGGGCATGGTGCCGCATTGCCGAGATCAAGACCGGGTGAAGCCCAGTTTAAGGGACCGTATGCGGCTGTTCGACTTGGTTGAAGACCCACTGGAAACCAAAGATGTTTCATCTTCGAATCCTGAAATTGTGCAGGATTTGAAGAAGCTGGTAGTTTCCCAAAATCTCAGCTGCATCTGCTACCAGTGTTTCTGGCCCTTTCACAAGGCTCATCATGGCCGTGGCTTGCGAAAACAAATGCTGTGCAGCTTGTAAGGTGGTGGACTTTCAACTGGAACTGAGAACTTTTTGCAGGCAGGGATGAAAACACCAAGCTAGATAGATTTTTTATTGTATAACTTATATAAATTATATAAGGGAAGACTGTATAACAATAGCAGAATCATACATAATCTTCACAATGTATCCAGGATCAGATAGGCAGCGTCGAAGTTTTGGGCCCCTGGGTCTCAGCTGGATGATCGAAGAGGCACCGTTCATCCTCGGTGGAAAATCGCAGGGAGGAAATGGGAGGAATGGGTGCGTTTTTCGACTATCGTCTCCGCAGCTGAATTTTCTTAAAGGTCTGCCCAGTGGGTGGGCCCAGTTGCAGGTGGCCCAGGTCATTTTTTGATTTCCCAAGTTCGGCTGATTCGAATCTGGAACTGAAATAGCTCGTGAAAACGCCCTGACTTCGTCCCTAGGTAGATAAAAGAGGCATTTTCTGGTGAAGTGAATGGTGAAATTCACTCAACTTTCCACTGAGTGGTGAATTTTTCAAAAAAAACAAACAATGAGTCACGGCCGTCACGGTTTTTGGTGCCGTTTTTTTATGCCCTGATGGAGTCATGGAGATCTGGGGTGCGAGTCTCAGTCGAGATCTTAAGGGGAATTCAGTGATTTAAACGATTTAAGAAACAAAACACATAAAAAACTGTCCAAAAAAGATGGATTTGAGTAAAATATTTCATCCTGCAATAGTAAATTGGAAGCTTTCCCAATCTGCTTGGTGTTTTGCCCATGGCTGATGCCACTTGAAAGGGAAATCCGCCCAGACCATCACCCGGTGACTCGCCAAGGTCTGGTGTTGCGACACTCGGCTGCTCAGCTGCACATGGCGCTTTTTTTGGGGCTGGGGATGGTGGAATGACGTGCCATGGAAAAGAAGGTTGGATTTAAATGGATTTAACATGATTCAGTGATGAAAATTGGGATTTATAACCAGCTAGAGTCAGTTGAAATTCACCCATTCCACCCATTCATGGTTAGCATGAACCCAGCAGAGCCATGTTAGGATTCCATGGGCTATGCGGCTTGCAGCTGTGAGTCCCCCGTGAGATGCATCTCTGATAAGACGTGCGAATTTCATGGCCAGCCCATCTTTTGTATCAGCATAAAAGTGCAGACATTATACATATGTGATATGTGTATATATATATACATACACACATGTGAGTCATGGTACCCAAAGAATGTGGTATTTCACCATATCATTCCCCCAGGATTTATAAGGATTTATACACCCATGATAAGGATTTCCTGGTGCTGGGATGAATCAGCCATGGCACATGTGGTCCCAATCCTTCGCAGTGCCGTGCCATACCCTGCCAGGATGGGAGCCGTTGGCGAAGATAGTGCCCTGGGCGACCGAACTTGCCACTTTGATATGATTTCATGGTCAATCTTGAAGGGATTTTGGATAGGTGCTGAAACTGAAACCTCAACAAGGCTGAGTAGAGTCTTAATTGGACTATTCGTGTTCATATTCACATCATTCCCAGTCTTTTTGGTTTCTAGCTTGTAACATGGGATTTCAAAGATTGGAGGTGGATGATCATTGTTCAGGATTTGTCTCCAGATGAGCTTCCCATGTTTTTTCCTAGATTTTCCTCGAAAAAAGTGCCTTAAAACCTGTCACTCGAGGCCGTTGGGCCTATGACCTGGCTCCAGAGTTATGGGGTCGCGTAGCGGCGCGACTGGGCCCACGGCAGCCGCTGGGCGAACACAATGGGATTTGAATGGAGTTTTTTTGAGGCTTCGGGAATGGAAACTATGGGAATTCATGGATTTTATGGGAGATTTCATGGGATTTAGTGGGATTTAATGTGATTTGATGGAATTTGAATGAGATTTCAGTGGGATTTCATGGGATTTAATGGCTTTTGTGGGGCTTTATCCTTCAACAAATAGTGGATTGTTGTTTCAATGGAGTTAATGGGGATATATCAGGATACTGTATAGTCGGATACAATTGGCTATTTTTTTGGGGGAGATAGAATGGGTAACGGGAGATATAAACCTTCAACGCTATGTGATGGCAACGGGAATGGCTGGGAGATTCTAAACTTTTCTACGTGGACTACATGGAGATTTTTCGGAAAATCATTGAACCATTGATGGCTGGTCTTTTCCAGCGGTCGCCATGTTTGATCTGATTACCAGAGGAACATGATTTATCATATTAAAAAAACGGTGGATAACTATGATTCGTGAATCATGTTTGTTTCCACTTGGTGAGGCTTGAGATTTCATGAAACTGGGATGTACCATACAGTTTCACCAGTCTTCCCCCTATTTGACAGGGTCCATACTGAGGGGATGGCTTAGTGGAGATGGCTTAGTGGATTTCTCTGGAGTTGATGGCTTTCAAATCACCCATTTCCCAGCAGGTCAGATCCTCACACGAATGCTATTTTTTGAGAGGGTGGAATTTCTGGAAGGGTTTTATTTCAATCGGGATCATTGATAGGTGTTAAACTGTTAGTTTATGTATTTTGAGAGTGGGATTATTAGATTCCATGGGGATTGTTGTGGATCTAGTGGGATATGATTTCATTTTTTCTTACCTAAATATGAGATGAAAATCCTAAATTTCCAACAGAACCCTGCAAGAAGGGCGCCCCAGTTGTGTTTGTGGGTTTATGTTACCCGGTTACCCTGTCCAGTTATAGATGATATATTAGATACATCCACTATAAATCATAGCAACTTGCTATTTTGCGGCCCTGCCCTGAAGCTGAGGTTCATGCGTGCCTCTGCTGCGTGGAGAGTTGTCCTTGTGGGATTGGCTGATGGCTCTTTTGGTGCAGTTTTTTGTGGTTGACACATGTTGCTTCTCCATAGATGAAAGTGTTTTTTTAGATGCCGTCTGTTCTTTTCACATAAGTTTTGTTTTTCACAGATGTAATTTGTTCTCCTCACTTTTGATTCCTCTATGTTTCTTTTTTGGCCACTGATGTTTTTGTTCCAGAATACAATTTTTTATTTGACACTATCAAGCAATGAACCTCCAACCCCATTTGGAATGCCTTTGTCTATGGAGCTCACTGTGAAGACCTTGGATTCTGTGGGATACCACCTGTCAGGTTGCTCCTATCATTGGAATGACGACGAGTTTGTTTTGACCCATTGATATATCCTTTAGTCTTAGGTAGATCTTCATAGATCTTCAACATTCGGAAATCCAAAGCTGGGGTCTCCATGTAGACGTGAAGTTATTGCTCTCAGATCCATTTTGGACTTATGCCTATCGTAAGTTGGGTTGGTTTATTTACACTCTGGTACCCTAATTTGACAACGGACAATCCCCATTGATACATGTTTTTCCTAATACAGCTTTCAGGTGGAGTTTCCATTTACGTAGGATTTTCAGGTACAGATGCGTGGACTATTTCATATTCCCTACTTTTTGCGCTGGATTTATCCATGAAAAGAATGAGACTTTCCATTGAGATCTCGTTCTAAGGGCTGTTAACCTGCAGCCGGGGCCTTGTGCTGAAACACGAGAGGCTGGCGGTGTCCAAGTTGGGAAGAAGCAGATACAACTTTGGGGGACTTTGGGATGTTTCACACAATAAAAATATTGTGGGTAAAACAACAATAAACCATCCCCCAAATCTCCATAAATAGGTGCTATAAACCATTTCCAAATGGGTGGTTTATTATTGTTTTCCCACATTAATCATCATTAGTCATCTGATATCCTTTGCCAGTTCTTTGAAGATGGGTTACAAAACTCGCTTCCCGATTTCTTGAAGCCTCAAGATCCGCTTCCTCATTTCTTCATCCTTTTTGCCAAATGGCGGATCCTCAAATCATGTGCTTTGATCACGGAGGAAACAATGGAGACTTGTCGGTTACCAAGGAGCATCTCTTTCAGACCCTTTGCCAAATAATTTAAATTCTTATTGTCATGCATTATCTGGTGGTTACCCTCCGGTTGTCAAGCCTGGCAATGGACATTTCCCATAGGTAAATCCTCTATGAATCCTTGAGTCGTCACTGCTAGATTTTGTTTAGCAGAGGGTAGAGATTGCTAGAAACAGAGAACATAAACTGTATGTAAACCGGGACATAACTTACCCTCTGGTAATCAAACGTCGCCCTGGAAAATCCACCATTCAAAGATTATTTTCCCAGCTATATATATATATTATAATTACTGTGTATATATATGTATATATATATGTATATATATATATATATATGTATATATATATATGTATATATATATATATGTATGTATATATATGTATGTATGTATATATATATATTATATGTATATATATATATATACATATGTATATACATACATATATACGTATATATATATATATACACATATGTATGTATGTATGCATAAACACACAGAGTATCATAGGTACAAACTATAATTTTGTTGGTGCTGTACCCAGATGCCAAAGTGTTGAGATGTCCTGTTCCAGGCATGTCCAACGCTGGAGCTGGGACACAATCTACGTGAATGGGATCCCCAAAAACATATCAGATGCCCATCCTGAAGTTTAGGTTTACACGGAGCATGTACCCTGGGTAAACTAACAGCTATGCCACATCACCATTTTGAATTGAATAGGTACATATGGGCAAATAATCTCTAAATGGGTAATTTTGGATAGCAAACTCTTAGTTTACTGGAGATTAGTCTGTCTATCTACTCATCTTATCTTCATGTTGTCTTTACCCTCTAAAGGTGTCTGAATCAGCGTCAATCTTATCTAAATGACATCAAGCATCTAATATTATAAGTGGTGAAAGGATAACCTGTCTGATTTGTTGTGATTCACCCGATTCAAAAACTCACCCGACATCGGACTGCAAGATGTCCGGTGGTCCGGCAGGGACCGGCTCTGGCACTTCTTCTGTCACTTTGAGGGCTACGCCCGCCGCTCCGAAGGAGGCAGAAACTGCCGGCTGGAAGGGAGGGAGGGACACACCATGTATGAGGTATCTAGAGGATGATTATAATATACATATACATTTCTTCCTTCCTTTCTTTCTTTCTTTCTTTCTTTATTGATAGGTAGATAGGTAGGTAGGAAGATAGGTAGGTAGGTAGATAGATAGGTAGGTAGATGGATAGGTAGGTAGGTAGGTAGGTAGATAGGTGATAGATAGATATGACATGTAAATAGAAGAGTTGCTGTTGCCGCAGGTGGCTCCTGGCATGGAAAGGTGCCCCAACTCTATTGGGAGCCTCGGAGATAGGGGTCTCACCATGGTGTGTGTGGATTTCAGGGGGCCTACTGAGCCATTTTTGGGGCCCTGAAAGTCATGAAAGACTGTGAAAAGTGGAGGATTAATCTTACAGGATGGGGGGATTTCAATGATAACAAGGGAAAATTATGATTTTTCCACCATTGGAGATGAAAGGTTCAACTAGCAGAAATGGTGGCTGAAAAACCAATTGAGCCGTGATCTGAATACCATTGGGGATACTACACTACACTACACTACCAACACTACACTACACTAATTACATTACACTACACTACGCTACGCTACACTACACTACAGTACGCTACACTCAATTACAGGACACCACACTACACCAGGCGACACTACACTACTCTACACTAACTACAACTACAACTACAACTACAACTACAACTCAACTACAACTACAACTACAACTCAACTACAACTACAACTACAACTACACTACACTAATTGCATTACACCACACTACACTGCACTACACAACACTAATTGCATTACACTACACTACATTACACTACACCACACCACACTACACTCAATTACACAACACTACACTACCGTACCCCACATTGCATTAGATTGCATTACATTACACTACACTCATTACACCAACACAAATGCAACTGCAACTGCACTACACTAATTGCACTACACCACAATGTCACAACTACAATTCCACCACACTAAAACTACAACTACAGCTGCGCTACACCACGCTACATCCAGCAGTTGTGGGTGAGGTGACCGACCAGGTGACCACTGCAACCATTGCAGCCACTCCAAAAAAAAAGCTCCAACCACCTTTCGGTCCATCAGTGGATTCGCTCTGCCATCCGTGATTCACAACAACCAATCTCTCCTATAGGTTTCCTATTTTTCCCCAACAGCGTAAGCTAATGGGGTCTTCAGCTCAGAATAGCTCCGGTGTGGACTGGTGCAGGCGCCAGGTCAGGTTCAACGAGGTTCCGGAGAAGGCTCCGAAGGTTCCGGAGAAGGTCTGGGAGGCTTTGGTGCAGAGCCAGGTCAGGCTCAATAGGGTTCCGGTGAAGGTTCCGGTGAAGGTTTGGGATGCTTTGGTGCAAAGCCAACAGGGTTCCGGAGAAAATTGTGGAAAAGGAGGTTTTGGGAATCTTTGGTGCAGGGCCGGGTCAGGTTCAATAGGTTCAGCAGAGGGTTTCCAGCGCTTGGCTTCGCAGCACGCTTCAGAAAGACTTGTAAAAATAAGACGTCGCGGCTGTTGGGGATACCACCGAAGCTTATTAGAAACTTCCGCCACCGCCTTGTGCGGTACTACTGGTACATGCAGAAGCAAAGTGCGGATCATAGCTGTCCATTGGTTCTCTTCTTTGCCAGACTGACCGCTGGCTCCACAAGACAGTCAAACGGGTACGGTAACGGCATGCTTTGGATGGTTTCATTCCAAAATTGCCAGTGAGAATCGATAGGTCCTGTTGTGGGTCTTAAATTTCTGACACATCCCGTGCCTACCCAAAGAATTCAGATACAGCCATGGTTCATCAAACCGTCACATCATACTGATACCTTTCCCCCCAATATTGAACACCCTCTTGGAAAACCGGGTTGATTCCTGGATCGATTTTCGGAGACGGCCTAGGAACGCCTTTTCCGGGAGAATGCCCGGGCAGTCGAGGCGGGTTTGGGGCAGCGGATGACCCATCCCAGTGAGATATGGCGATCAAAACCCCCCTTTTGCATGTCTTTTTGGGGTTTACAAATCCATTCAAGATCCATTTAACATCCATTCACCAGGGTACCCAGATCCATATGGAGGATTTGGTAGTGGGGTGGGCCCAAATCGACTGCCACCCAAAACGACAATGAGGTGCTGAAAAAAATAGGGGGAACCAGAATCCACCCGGCAATTTAGGATATTTAGAGCGAACTGAATCCTAAAACCAGTGATTTTTGGTTCCAGTCGCAACTTTGTTGGATCTATAGGGGGCCGTTTTGCATTTGTTTGACGTGTTTGTGTTGGTGTGCAACGGGGGTTGGAACTAGACATGTCCGGGAGAGCTTGCCGATCGGACTTCATCATTCGCAACGGGTTCCAACCTGATTGAAATGGTTGCTTTTTATATATATACAGTATATACTGTGTATATATATATATATTCTATATACACATACACGTATACATACGTATATTTATGTATAATCTATCTATCTATCTATCTATCCATCCATCCATCCATCTATCTCTCTATCTATCTAGCTAGCTAGCTAGCTATCTATCTCTCTCTCTCTCTATCTCTCTGTATATATATATATGTATGATATATATGTATGATATGTATGTATGTATGTATGTATGTATGCATGCATGCATGGATGGATGGATGGATGGATGGATGTATGTATGTATGTAATGTATGTAATGTATGTATGTATGTAATGTATGTAATGTATGTATGTATGTATGTATGTATGTAATGTAATGTAATGTAATGTAATGTAATGTAATGTATGTATGTATGTATGTATGTATGTATGTATGTATGTATGTATGTATGTATGTATGTATGTATGTATGTATGTATGTATGTATGTATGTATGTATGTATGTATGTATGTATGTATGTATGTATGTATGTATGTATGTATGTATGTATGTATGTATGTATGTATGTATGTATGTATGTATGTATGTATGTATGTATGTATGTATGTATGTATGTATGTATGTATGTATGTATGTATTAATGTAATGAATGTATGTATGTATGTATGTTTGTATGTATGTATGTATGTATGTAATTAATATCAATGATATCACACATATATATATATATATTATCATTGTATAATATATGCATATATATATATATATTTGTATATGATGATAGACGAATAGGATTGTTATTGCCAACAACAATCCCTTTTTTCCAAAGCTCTAAACGATATGACTATCGCATTTGTGGTAGCCAGGCGCAGCACCTCTTCTGTTGGCTCAGAGTTGGTCCGGGGGTCCAAGGGTGACGTGGTGAAACTCGATATCAACCAATTGATGCTAAAAAACCAAGGAATTATGAAAGAGTAAACAGTCACTATCAGATTACCACTATCAAGTTGGATTCAAAAAGGGTTTGTCGAAATAATGAGGACCAGTTTTAATGATCTTCGATTACATTAGGAACAGGGGTGTTCATAGTGATAGTGGGCAGTTGGATCCCCCTCATATGTTAGATGCCACCGGTGATTGTACCGCTGATGGACATGTCCCAACGGCATTTCTTCCAGATATGAGTGATATGAGCTATATCCGGTAAAAACGGTACTCTAATCCCTTCCCCCTAATATAAAATTCCCCCATAAACCATGGTTTAGTAAGAGATTTGCACATATTTGGAACCATTTAGGGGATGTTTAATATTAGGGGGATCGGATTCAGCTTGTACCACACTTCACACAGTTTGACATTGAAACTGTGAGCCTCGGAGAAACTTTTAGCTGGTCTGTTTCCGAATCCCTGAACGCCGGAGACCCAGGGAATTATTAATATTACAACTTGGAGATGCGGGCTATTGTTTTTTTCTCTGGAACATGCATTTTTGAGACATAGCATAGTGTGTGAATCCACATTGTGATGGTGATGGCCAAGATCACGTTTTCTTGGCACTCAAGACCACACTCTTGATATCTTTAGATTTTATTCCACTTTTTTATCAGTGAATCCCCATGTTGGGCCGTGTCAAAAACCCATTGAGTTACTAATTAAATATAGTGGCGTTCTACCACCCTATTTTTGATATTGGCTTACTACAATCCATTATTGGAAAAGCTATAAACAAATGGATTGCAATCCATGTCTGTTCATAGATTATGATAATGGATTGGAATAGCTATAAACCCCAACTATTATGGATACACCATGATTGTGATGATAGATTATGACAACCGCCAGTTATCATTGATGGGATTTATTATGGTTATTATAATCTATTGTCATAGATTATACAATCCATCAAGGATGGACAATCATCATTATAATAATAGGGATTTTGACAACGTCCAGATTTTTTTTCCCCCGATTTTGCCTGAAGGAGATGAGGAGCTCCGTTTTGCCGTGCCTCAGGTGGGCGTCGTTTTGTAGGATTACACGATATATATATATATATGTAAATATATGTATATATGTATGTAAACACACATATATATATACACAAACACATATTGGTAAATTTAAATATGTATGCAAAAGATATGTGTATGGATGCTCAAAATAGAAGAAAATCGCCGGCACCTTTTGGGCCTGGCACCTCGAGGTATAGAAGTTCTCAGTGACGATGGATGTGGTTGTTGGCCTATAGTGTAATGCTGATTCTTATTGGATACTTAGTTACTTGGGAGTATGACACGTTTCTTTGGTCAGCCGTTTTTTGAACACGGTCCAACCTTTTTTTGTCATGGCCGTCAATGCGGACAATCAGGGTCTTCCAGTAGTTTTTCAAGAAACCCAACTAGTCGGCAACACCCAACCACTGTTTCTGAACTAACCAGCGCAAGTGACGTGCTTCACATTGGTTGGTTAATGTCTTGGTTAAGAAACAACGACTGGCTGTACAATCCTCTCGAAATGTCGACCATCTTCCTTGTTTTGAAGGGCTCACATTTTCCATTGACAATTGACCCCAATAGACAAATATGACACGTGGAGTATCAGATGGTTTTTTCTCCATCCATGGGTAGCATCCAGCGATAAAGGGGGATGGGAATCCGTCGCCACGTCGCCAGAGCGAAGCAAGCGCCCAGATGGACTCACAGGTGCCAGGGTAAATTTGTGGTAGTTTATTCAGGTGCATGATGGTTTTATAATGTTTTTTTTTTTTTAAATGTGCATATACACATGACATGACATGACATGTCATGTCATGACATGACATGACATTACATTAAATATATATATATATATATATTATGTGTATCAAGGTTTGGGCTTAAGCGGGGTGCCCACGTTCAGCCCTGTGTTAGCCCTAGCCTTAGCGGTCATTGCTGCTGTGACCGCGGGCATCGTTGCGCTTCGCCTTGCTGAGACTTCTGAACTGGCCTAGCCCTGGAAGTGCTCTGCTGGTGGTTGCCAGCACCACCTTTGCAGCTCTGAGGTCCCGGCCTCGTTAAACCACCCGGGTTTTTGACTTGATCCACATCACCATTGTGTACCTCTCCACGGTCGGGCTTTGCAAGCTTCAGTTGATTTTCCTGGTAGCAGCATCTCCCTCTATAACCTGGACCTGGTCACGGTGTATATGGACAAGTTCTTCATTTTCCTGCTCTTCTTTGTGCACTTTGTGATTGTTGGTTGTCATCACGGTTTTTGCAACGCAGCGCAGACGACAAAGGCGCCAGCGAGCATTTATCCGAAGACAGGTGTGGCTATTTCGGAAAGGCCTCATCCATTTGGAAAGCAATCGCATTTTTGCATACAGCAAGATCCTTGCCAAACACCACTCAGTCGACTCCCAGTACATCCGGCAGCTTCACATTTTGGCTTGCCAGACAGCAGACACCATGGCGGAATCCTGGCGCTGCAAGAGATGCTGGAAAGTCCTCAGTGGCAAACATCCTCATTGCCCCCATTGCGGAGGACATTGGAACAAGATGCAAGACCTGAGTTTTGTGCCACCAGAGCGAGATCCATCTCAACGGCCGAAGAGCCGTGTGCGGTCTCCGCATGCGAAAAATGTGCACACTTCAGGTTGGAATTGGGATGGAGCCGAAGCCGAAGCCCATCCTCAACGAGATCGAAGTGGATCAGCCAAGACTACACGACAAGGTCGTGGAAGACGCAGGCAGAAAAACAAGACCAGGACCTCCCTATGCATCCATGACTCTGCCACCGCCTTGGAAGCCCGATGGTGCGCCGTCCAAGGAGACAGCCTCAGCCTCCTCTGCGATGGCAGCTGCCCAGGCGGAGCTCGTCAAGGAGATTCGGGAGGCCTACACAGATGTGAAAGACATGCCGGACAACATCAGGCGTGTGATGGAAAAGCACGACCCCAACAGTGGTCGACAGCTCACAGCGTCAATGAACAAAACCACCAAGGACTTGGAGAAGGCCAGAGACAACCTACGGAAGCTTTCCGAGGCCAAGTCCAAACATCGCACTCAGTGGATGAACCACATGAAGAATCTCATGGAGACGCTCTCCAAACAGGTCGAAGCATTCGAGACCCAGCAGAAGTCCTACGACGACAAGCTCAAGTCCACCCAGCGGGACATCCAGGTGACAAGACGGGAGCTACGCAGACTGACAGCGCAAGCAGCTGCGGATCATACGACCGAAGTCACGGAGCCCCTTTTGGAGGAGGACGAGCAAGCGGACAATGTTGTCGACGTGGAGGAGGATGCGCTGCGCAACCAAGTCCGCGACCTGCTGGACAAGTGCTTGGGCCAAGCCGACAAGTCCAAGGTGGTGGAGATCGACACCGACGAGGAAAACATGGACACCAGTACAGAGCGAGGCAACAAGCGACCCAGATCTTCAGAGCCATTTGGATCTGCAGCCAAGTGACTTTGGGCTGCGATGGTGGTTGTCTGATCCAGAAGGACCATCGTGAGCCAAGTTCATGGCTGGTCAAGGACGCTGACACTTCAGTTGAGGCCTATGACTGCAATGAAGGCAGTTGTGCAGCAAGCTGGACGTGTGGCTACATGCCTTGGCCCCTTCATCCTCGCACGTACAACAATGACCCTTGTGTCCAGCCCTTCATGGCCATTCACAATGCATACTGTCTGGCTCAGCAATGTGGCACATGGACACCCTATCGACATGATGGCCCTGATGAAGCTCCCTTGACCTCCTGCTTTGGCCCCTCGCCAGCCTTGACATTTTCTGTCAAGAAGACCGGCGTGTCCAGAACAGTGAATTTCTCCTCTACGATTGATTTTTTCAGGATCAATGAGGATGAGGTCGGTAACGCCATCAGATACACCTCAGTGACAAGCAGAATGTGCAGCCGCGCATGCATCACTTTACTGATGATCATGTACGCCCAGCACGAGAACGGTTCCAAGATGAATTTCACCCACGGCAAACACCTGATGATCATGCTCATGTGCTTGCTCAACAACCAGCTCATATCCAAGACCTTGCACTCACTCTGCATCAGCAAGGAGTCTTTGATCCCCGAGCACAAGAAAGGTACATCAAGGTCCTCACATGGTACATTCATGGCAGGAATGGTAGAGCTTGCAGATTACCTCGATTGGTAAGGCTCCCAGAGGACTTCACCACCTGGAATGAGATACTCACCTCAGCCTGGCGGGAATCTTTGGAACCACATGAGGCAGTCAGATTCTTCACGGTTGAACCAGAGCCGCCAATTGCAGAGTGGGAGGAGCATGACGCACAGATCTTGCTGGTTCAAGCTCCGCAACATTTTGAGAGGGCTGTGCTCTTCACGTCGCTGTATCATGCCAGGGAGCAAATCGCTATACAGAGAATTGCAAGGTTCCATCCATCAGACATCCGTCTTGCAGACTGCATCGAAAATGCGGAGGTGCCTATGCAAGTGAGGCACCGACTCATCCATTGCTACTATGGATGGAGGCCTATTCTCGACATCCCGCACCCTGCCATTGACATCAATGATGGAGCTGCAATAGTCCTGCACGTGCGACCTGAGCCAGATTCACCTTGTCAACAACAACAATACCCATTTGACTTCCTATGGGAAGAAGATGCCTATGTTCCACAGCACGCTATACGGCATGAAACGAGGCCTAGAAGTCGTTCACCCCGTCGGCATCAACATGGTGACGATGATGAAACCTCGCTCATGGCAAGGCAGCCAAGACAAATCCCTCGAGATGAAGAATATGGTGATGAAGAAACAGAATCAAGTGCCTCTGCGTCAACATATGACAGCAATGAGCCTTCTGACTTCTTTCACATTTTTCAACTGCAAGCACCTATGTATGCTGCGAGGGTACGTATGGACAGCTGGCCATTGGCGTACAGTCAAATTCGACATGTGCTTGGACTTGACCGACATGAAATCCAGTACATTCACATCGCCTCATTTCGGCCTGCTGATCTATATGCCTCAGGCACATTGGTGGCTGTGGTACAGCGAGCTCATGATCTACTACCTGGGGACCATCGGCGCATTGTTCTGATTGACATCGTTTTTCATGAACATGAAGCGGCTCTTACCACCACCCACCGCTATGCCACCCTGGTCCGCAAAGATCTCACCCGGCGCATTCTCCTTGAAGAACTCAAGCTTCAGGAATTTTGCAAACAGGTGAAGCAGCAATGCATCGTGCAAGTCAATGGCAAGCACATCCCTTTGTCAAGCCACACTCTGTTTGAAGTCCAACATGCTGACTACGTGCGAATTGACCTGCCACCGCACCCGAAGAGAACACTCCCCTCTAGAGCCATCGCACGCTGTTTGCGAGATGGGATACAAATCTCTGAGGGCCAACGTCAGTATGACAATGGAGAAACTGACTTTGAGTGGGAAACTGTTCAGATTGAGCGGGAAGACGATCAAGAAGATGTCCAGATGCTTCAAGTCCAATGGGACAGGCGCCTAACAGCTGAGCAGGTGGCTCACACTCAGCGGCCTGATCCTATGCCGACACAGCTCAACCTTGATAGCCTTATCCCAGCCCCTCAGCAATCTTGCATAGAATTCGCAGCAGTGCAGTGGCTGGGCATCGAGCTCAACAATTTGTCTCTTGACCTCATTGCGGAGTGGCCAGAAGACCTACAACTGCAGGAGGTCACCATTGATCACCTCAACACTCTAGGTGATCTGATGTCTCAGAAGCCCAATGCCATTCACTTCTACGTTGACGGCTCCAAGATTGGCCAACAAGTCGGCGCAGGCATTGCGTGCTTTGTTGACTATGCCACCCACACCGCACTTGCTGGAGTCATGAGCAAATCAGTGCAACTGGCGACCCATGCATTCATTGGTGAGCATGCCGCGATGATGTGGGCACTGCTCTGGGCGGTTCAATTGAGTGAATGGGTATTCAACACCTTTGCCACCTACGACATTGAGTTCAGCTTCAACTTTGATGCTATGAACACTGGACACCAAACAGCAGGTCTGTGGCGAACCCTGGCCCACAAGCCCTGGAAAACTGCCCTGAGATCTCTAGCGCAGCTCTTGGAAACGCGTCACACGCAGAGCAAGCTGAAATGGAATCATGTCAAAGCCCACACCCAACATCCTCGCAATGAGCTAGTTGACCAATTGGCGAAATTTGCAGCTCACCACCCAGATAGGGTTGGAGGATGTGAAGCATGGTGGCATTGGATCACTGAAGAGCGGTATCAGACAGCTTTGTCTTGGCTATGGTACTATGAGCATCTTCAGAAGAAACCATATGATGCGCCTCTGCTTGAGGGAACCCTCCTGACAGCTCAGTGTGCACATGTTCGCACCACAGCTGACGCACCTTCTCCCTCACCTGATGAAGGAGCCATGAGTGAGGATGATGAAGTGACTGCCTTTGACTTTGTCATTGCTACAGCGAACATCCTCACCCTGGCCAATGAAGATCAACAGGGCCGAATTACTCCCACAAAGCAGATGCTTTTGATGAAACAATTTGATGAAGCCGGATGTCATGTGATCGGCCTCGAGGAGACAAGACACAAGCGCATCATCAATCCGAACAATGACCTCTACCATATAGTAGGACATCCAGCAGATGCCAAAGGTCATGATGGTGTACAATTGTGGTTTTCCAAAACGAAGCCAATGTATGAGGATGGTCCATGCATCTCCATGAAGCACCTCAGAGTTGTTTCATCGACGCCCACCTTGCTCATTGTGAAGTTGGATATGCCACGATGGAAATGCCTGTTTGTCACTGGGAGAGCTCCCCACTCTGGTCGAGCCAATCACGAAAACCTCCAGTTCTGGCAACATGTGTCCAAGCACATTAGATCCTATGCCAACAACATGCCGATCTTCTTTGCTGGAGACACAAATGGGCACATCGGTGACCAGGAGACAGCGGCAGTCGGCTCTCATTTTGCCTCGATTGAGAATTCCCCTGGATCCTTCTTTCACAATTGGCTTCTTGAACATGATCTTTGGGTGCCAAGCACATTCACTGCAACGCACATTAGCGAGACCAATGCGACCTTCACGTCACCAGATGGCCAGCATGCCACGCGCATTGACTATGTTGCCATCCCCCAACACATCACCTATGCAAAGGTACAGAGTTGGGTTGACGACACCATTGATCTTGGAGGGGCTCGCATTGACCATCAAGCTGCTATGTGCCGATGTACTTTTACCACCCTGGAGAAGAAGATCCCATATCAATTCAGGACGAAGCAGCTGAAGCCGTCGCGGCAAGCGATAGCAGCCCAATTGCGGGATCCTTCGTCTGCAGACTTCCTGCACAAAGCCTTGTCGAACTCAGAGTGGCACGTTGGCCCGCACCAGTCAGCTGACCACCTTGCAGAGTGCACGCAAAAGGCACTGAATCACCTGATTCCACGCACACAGCGATGGCGAAGGAAAACACATGTTGATGCCGCAACCTGGACTCTGGTTGAAGAGAAGAAGCAGCTCTTCCGACAACTCAAATCCATGAAGAAGGTGCGCAGCAACACCATTTTGGCTACAGTTCTGAAGTCTTGGCGATCTTTGAAAACCAGTTCTACACAGATGCAACCACAGAGCTGTCATCACTCCATCACAGAATGGATGAAGATGATTGATCATGCAATCGCCATCACAACCTCGCAACTCAAAGCAAAAGCCAAGATGACCACAGCCGCCATTCGCAAAGCTGACACTGCTTACTATCTTCATCTTGCCCAACAAGCGGGAGACAAGTATTCCCACGAGGGATTGACGGCAGTATGGAAGCAAATCAAGTGCGTTTTGCCTCGACACAGGATGAAACAGACCCAAGCCAAGCAAGACTTTGGTGACGAGCTTCTTCAGCACTTTGCTCTTCTCGAAGCGGGTACAGTTGGTACCCATGCTTCCAGCATCCAGCAATGCGTCGAACGCAACAACAGTGATTTACAAGAAGCTCCACGTCATCGACATCTTGATCTTGCGGACTTGCCCACTCTCGTTGAAGTTGAAGACCTTTGCCTAAAGCAACGCCCAAATCGGGCTCCAGGACTTGATGCCGTTCCACCTGAAGTGTGTCGCTTTGCTGCCAAAGCCATTGCACCATTTCTTCACAATGTGATCTTGAAGTCCTTCATTTGGGGCCTGGAACCACATCGGTACAAGGGCGGACAGCTCTGCGCAATATGGAAGCAGAAGCAATCATGCCGAGATCCCAGCGCATATAGGGGAATACTCCTTGCCGAAGTGTACGGGAAGGTCCTACACTCATGGGCCAGGCAGAGATTACTTCCAACCCTTGTGCATCGTCGAGCACCCGGCCAAATAGGCGGTCTCCCGTCACAGCAGACGACAACAGCAATTCAGTTGATCAAACTTCACGGGCGACAAGGCCGACACAAGAAACTGACGACAGTCATTTTCGTCGACCTCAAGGCTGCGTTTCATCATATGCTGAGAGAGTTTGTCTTTGCGGTCAAGAAGCCTCTCTCACAGTCTGAGCTCCAAACCTTCTTGGACCCGACTGATTTCAACATTGCCCAGATTGCTGCTGACCTGCAAGAAGCGTGTCAAGATCGACCTCAAGACGTGCCAGAAGCTCTGCGCCTCTTTTTGCATGATATACACTGCTCAACATGGTTCAAACTTGATCCGGATCGAGATCAAACTGTCACCACAACCAGAGGCACACGACCTGGCTCACCATTGGCAGACCTTGGATTTAACCTGCTCATGGCCCGCATCATGCACCAACTTGGAGCAGGATTGCAACAACTTCCACTGTATGCTCGTGGATGTGACCTTTTTGGCACTACTGTTCCCCCAATCTCATGGGTTGATGATCTTGCGCTTCCTCTTACAGCAGAGAAACCAGACCAAATGATTCCCTTGATCCAACAGGCCACTGCTCTGCTGCACGACACGTTCAAAGCGCACGGCATGACCATGAACTTTGAGCAGGGGAAATCAGAGGCTGTCGTCATGTACAGAGGTCCTGGTGCAAATGCCTGCCGCACAGCGCTCTTTGACACTGGTGCTGCACCATGCATTGTTACAACCACGGACACCCATGTCCTGACTTTGAAGGTAGTGGCTACATATCGACACTTGGGCGCTCGCTTCTCCATGAATGCCGAGACTGAGATGGAGATTCAGACCAGGATGAGCATGGCACGACAGGCGTATCAAGAGCTCAAGCGCCCCCTCTTCCACAACAAATACATCCCATGTAAAGGACGGCTGCAACTTTACGATAGCCTCGTTGTTGCTCGCCTACTGTATGCCTGCTCGACCTGGACGGACGTTTCAACAGCTCAATTGCGGCAGCTTGAAGCGGTGCTCATTGACCACTATCGACAAATCAGCAACATTGGATACTGGAGTGAGAGCAACATGACGGATGAGGAGCTGCGACATCACTTGGAAGTTCCCACTTTTCGAGTAATTTGGGCACGCCACCGACTGATTTATTTGCAACACATCAGTCAACATGCTGCGGCTTACCATCGACAGCTCCTTCTTGCAGAGTATCGCCAAGGACGTGGATGGCTTTGTGAAGTCCTGACGGACTTACAATGGATGGGTGCGCTGGTGGAGCTCCCCTTCGACATTGCCACTGCCGAAGTTGACTGGCCAACCTTATGGGAGGTTTTGCAAGAATATCGGCCATGGAAAAGCTTGGTGAAGAGAGCATGTCGAAAACACCTCATCCAGAATCGCATCGCTCGAGATGTTGCTCACTATCACACAGTGATTCTGGAGGAACTGGAGGCTGCCGGATTCCACACATGGCAGGGAAATGTGCCTGAAGCAGAGGATTTGACATGTTCACGTTATCGATGCAATCAATGTGACATGACCTTTGCTACTGCCCATGCACGTGGCTCCCATGCATATCAAGTCCATGGAACTCTTTCAGATGAACGGCCATATGTGCAGTCCACAGTATGCCCAGGATGTTTGAAATACCACCACACAACCTGGCGTGTTCAGCAAGACCTGAAATACCGACAGAATGGGTGCTGGGACCGTATTCATGGAGCCCGACAACCTGCTGAACCTTGCACCATCAAGTTGCCGAAGCACCTACAGCATGTCCAACGGCTGCCTGCAGTGCGACGACACTTTGGGCCCATCAGACCAACAAGTACCCAACGGCAGCGCATCAGCCTGAGACAGCGAATCACTGCCCTCCAACATGCAGGGAAAGATGAGTTTGCATGGTGGCACCCAGAAAGTGATCCTGCACTGGTTGACAGAGCCTTTGCTGCCTTTGGGACCGGCCTGGCTACGTGGTGTATGCAGGACTCACCCACATCTATTGACTTCCAGAACGTTATGTTCCAGCAGATTTTCAGGTTGGATGTACCAGATCTTCTTGGAGGCAGACTGTTCATTCATTGGATCGAGATGCGATTCTATGATGAGTGGCCGGAAGATCTTGAGCCTAACCTCATCGACATTTTGGAGGAGGCCTACATGCTTATGCTTGAGGACATCCCTGCTTGGTCCAAGCGATGTGCGATGAAGGAGCTCACCAACCTTTGGATGAACCTCCCACCAGATGAACCTGATCTCCCACCCCGGCAGCTACCGCAGACCAGCCGACCACGGCACCGTCTGCATGATATTCCATGCCCCTTTGCGCGCATGGGACATGAAGAGGGACTGCGTCGACAGTGGAAGCTCCTTGGCGCTCCAAGACGTCCACCTCCTTCGAAGCGAGGCCCATATTACATTGTGCATTTATATTCAGGTCGCCGGCGACCCAATGATTTCCACGCTGCTGTTGACGGCATGCTCCATCGATTCCGGCATCTGGACATCCGCGTGTTATCCATTGACACAGCGGTCGACCCGACCCTGAATGTGCACGATGAGAAATTATGGAGGTTTTTGACAGGCATTGCGCGAGAGGGGAGAGTGCTCGGACTGCTGCAGGGGCCGCCCTGCGAAACTTGGACAGCCGCGCGGCATCAGCAGCAGGTGGACTCCGAGGGCAATGATCGTCGAGGACCTCGTCCCGTACGTTCTGCACAAGATCCATGGGGCCTTGCGATGATGTCATGCAGTGAACTTGAGCAGGTTTTCGTAGGGAACATCCTGCTGCTCAAAGGCCTTGTGCTGGCTTGCCTGGTCACCTTCACAGGTGGTGCCACCTTCTTGGAACATCCGTCGATGCCATTTCAGGAAGAATATGCCAGCATTTGGCGCCTGGGCCTCACTTGCATGCTGCATCGACCTCCTCATGGACCCTTTCGCCGAGTGAGCGCTGAACAGTGGCGCTACGGTAGCTGCGGGGTCAAACCGACCATGTTTTTGTACTCCAATTCGAATCTGCCCCAGGCATTAGCAGAGTGTGCGATTCCAGGTGCCACACGGCCCACACAGCACCTCATAGGACAGAATCCTGACGGCACTTTTCGAACAGCCCAAACCAAAGAGTATCCTGCTCAGCTCAATCAGGCATTTGCACAGGCCATTTTTCGTGCCATGCAATCTTGGCACATGGCGCCTAACGAAGCTGATGCAGAAAGCTATGGTGCTGAATTAGCAAAGGTGGCAGCATGCACTGAGCACAACGACATGTGCCCGGACTACCAACCACGGTAGCCGCTGCCGATGCATGTAGGCACGAGCGCCGACTCAGATGCCAGAGGAAAAAAATTATGTGTATCTATACACACATATATAGTATACTCGATGATGCTTATTTCCCAGTTAGAGTATTATACTTTGGCCAGTCATGCAATATGATGTCCAACGATGTTTCTCAATTGGGTTACTTGTTTGGCAATCCTTGGTTTGGAGGCTAGATGGGTATAGATCATGTGAGAAACCAATGCCATACTCTTGCAATGATATTTGGGTATACTGACATTTATCGACTCCTAATTGACATGGTATCAAAGTATGATTACACCAAGGTATGATACGGACATTATTGACTCAAAGTATGATACCTTTTTTGAACTCTGAAAGGTCTCAGCAAAATCCCGTTTTTTTTGTCCATAATGGTAGGCCTGTGGCAATGGGTCGCCAATCTCACCATTGGCTTACCGGGTGACTCACTGCAGAATATTCTGTGCATTTTTCGGGATGTTAGCAAGAGAAATATATTAGGGTTTGGGGTATTGTTCATTTAGGGACCACACATATTCTGTATAGTGGATTAGTGGATGTTCATTTTTCTATGATTAGGCTTAGTATCTATTTCCGAATATGACCTTCCCACGTGGGTGAGAAGCTCAGTTGCCCACATGGTCCACCGGGAGTCCACCGTCATTCAGCCCATCCCACAGATAACTTGGGAAACTCAGAACTGTGGTCGTTCACCATTTATGATTTTATCATATTTTATCATCTATTTCTCACTCCCAATACCTGATTTTTTAGAACTGTGCCTAGCATTTCTGGTGAGATATCGAATTTGAAAAATGAAATCCCAGGATTTAGAAAATCATTTTTTTCACCAATTTTTGCAGATCCATATAGAAACACAACGCTTGATGACAAACAGTATTATATATCTACATTGTCTATGCCTGTAAGGCACAAAAAGCACATGTTTTTCATCCACCTGAAGCATATGTTTTTCGCACCCCCTGAAAAGATAGAAGTTGGTAAAATCTCATCCCCAAATAGTGGTAAACTTCACCTTTTCTGCATCTTTGGGGGGGGTTACAAACAAATCCAAGTGAAACTCGATGATCCACGTGTTGTGCAGGGTCTCTGCAGTCCGGAGTTGTTAGCCAAGCAACTGCGCCGCGTGCTGTCTCCGGAGCTGGGGGGAAAGGAACGCTGGTTGCCCAGGTTTCGCATATTTGCAAACACCCCAATGGGGATTGAACTATCAGTCGTGAGCCTTAGTGAGCAGTGTTATTTCTGGTGGGAATCCAATGGGGATTTTTTTTTGACCGATTTCATGACCAAAGTTGGGGAGTAAATCGGGGACTCAACCCAATGAATGGGATTCCACCAACTTCGTTCAGGGTAAATCACGACTGGATGTCAGTGGCCGACGTCACTGAATATGGCGGGTGAGTAAGGGTAACCCAAAATGGCCCAACATTTCTGCTATTTTCATATTTTCAGCTTAGTGCATCAATATAATTCAGCCAGATACCCATAACTGTCATAACTGGCTTCTAATCTCATAGATATCCCACTCGCTGGTGAATTATTCATCGGCTTGACGGTGGGACCAGTGGTGAAAACTGCATCGGTGCAAACATCATCCCAAACTTGGCAAAATGGGGATCTTCAAACCTTCCCATGTGGTGCGAGAAGGGAAAGTCAAGATAAATCGCGATCCTATCTACTTCAGACATTCAGACATGATTTGTTCTGTGATCTGAGTAAAGTGGTTGTTGTTCGGTGGATTTTTCAACCATCTTTGCGTTCAAATCCGATTCTCGAAAGCTAAAAACCTATTTTTACTCGTTAAAACCAATGTTTGTTATATGCTGCAGTTCAAATCTTATGTCTACTCGTTCAATTCTTTAACTAGTTCAAAACATGTTTTAATTAGATAAGTTCCATTCTTATGTTATTGGTGCAATGCTTATTTTGCACTGGTTCGCTTCCAATTTTTACTGGCGCAGTTCCTTTTTCACTGGTGCAATTCCTATGTGCTCGTTCAATTCTAGTTTGCACTTCATTGACTATAGACTATTGGTTAAATGTCTAGTTTCATTGCTTCAATTCTTTTTCTGTTGGATGAATTTTCATTTTCACTGCTACAATTCCGAGATTTCTAGCTGGATCAAACAGGATAGAACAGGGAAGATCTGAGAAACCTTTCAGGAATACGAACTCAATGAACAACTCAAGATTTCAATCCAATTGGTTCGGGGTACTTCACATGAGCAGTGGATGGTAAACCCCTGGTTGATGATTAGTTCGGGCACAAAAAACTAACCAATAGTCATTGGGGAATATCACAATCCATTAGTCTCAACCAGTGTAAAGGGACGACATTTTGGTTTTCAGCACTGCTCATCTGGTGTTGGGGGCTTGAAATCTGTTGAACCATGTTGAACCATAGGGATCCCCAATTTTCCGAGCACATTCCAGTCATTTTGAGTAAGGAATCTGCAGAATCCCAATTCCTTATCAAGTTGCTTCGTTATATCCCCATGGTACAGCCATTGCATGCCCATTACCCTCTGGTAAACATACAAAAAACTATGGAACATCACCATTTTCATTGGGTAAATCAGGCCATTTTCAGTAGCAAACTGTTCCCATTTTCCCAGTTCCCAGTGATTTTTCATCAGGAGGCAGGCGCCTTTCGTTTGCGGGAGCTGATTCTTGGGCGACCAGGAGCGATATGCTGCCGCTTGTGATGGACATTTGCCGACCAAATTATCTACACATCTGACACATATGTCAATATTGCACATATGTAATCACATATACATATACATATACATATATATATATACATATATATATATATATACACATGGCCACGTATCTATAAATGTTGATTCAGAAACGCCTGGAAACAACACATGGATTGTCAGGTTTTTTCCCCCATCAGATGATGCCAGGTTTAGCCGCTCGCGCCGTGGGTTTCTATGCTCAGCAGAGTGGCACCAAGGTCGAATGGGCATCAAAGAAACCAACAAAAGTCGGTTTTAGTACCTGGGGTGGTCAAAAAATAGTAGGAAAACAACAAAATTTGGTGGTCTATCATCATTTTATCATATTCCCCAACAGCGTAAGCTAATGGGGTCAGGTTCAACGAGGTTCCGGAGAAGGTTCTGGGAGGCTTTGGTGCAGAGCCAAGTTCAACAGGGTTCCGGAGAAGGTTCCGGAGATGGGAGGCTTTGGCGCGGAGCCAGGTCAGGTCCAACAGGGTTCCGGAGAAGTTTCTGGAGAAGGTTCCAAGAAGCCTTGGTGCAGGGCCAAGTCAGGTTCAACGGGTTTCGGAGAAGGTTCCGGAGAAGGTGTGGGATTTGGTGCAGAGCCAGGTCAGGTTTAACAGGGTTCCCGAGAAGGTTCCAGAGAAGGTTCAGCTGAGGTGTTTTCAGCGCTTGGCTTCGCAGCACGCTTCAGAAAGATTTTGTAAAAATAAAACGTCGCGGCTGTTGGGGATACCACCGAAACTTTTTTTTGGTACATACACAGTTTTTTTTGGGACATACCCAGGTAGATTTTGGGTCATTTTGAGTAGAATATGCTGGCATTGGCATACCTAGTTTTGACCTATGAAAGTTGTGACTGTAGAAAATTCAGCAATCTATGGATTGAAACTGTGGATCTCGAACAGAGTCCCATGGGCATGGCTCAGTAGTCGCAAGACTAGGCATGACTAGCCTGGGTTGTTAGAAACAATGGTGATGGAAATATGGCTCTAGCCCTGTCTGGAAATTGCAAACCCATATCGGCTAGACTAGACTATATACATATATACATATCTATCTCAAATCGGGTAGCAATTAACTATCTCATATATCATATACCTGAGACAGGTACCCGACCATCCAAAGCCGTACCAAAGCCATCATAGTTCGCACACTGCCGGAGAACGTAATTACTATATCTCCATGGGGTGAAAGGCTATCCTATGATTGGTTTAATGATGTCTATTCGTAATTCTAAACCAAGCATGCTTGGTATCTAATCATCATTATACAATAATCATTAATATCTAATCAGTATTGGTATTTATATAGTAATTCATATCTAATCATGACTAATGATCATGAATCTAATCATCACTCATATCTAAATATCATGGGTATTTCATACTTAGAATCATCATCATCATCATCATCATCATCATCATCACCATCATCATCATCATCATCATCATCATCATCATCACCAGCATCATCATCATCATCATCATCATCACCAGCATCATCATCATCATCACCATCATCATCATCATCATCACAAGCATCATCATCATCATCATCATCATCACCAGCATCATCATCATCAGCATCATCATCATCATCATCAGCATCATCATCATCATCATCATCATCAGCATCACCATCATCATCAGTATCATCAGTATCATCATCATCATCATCATCACCATCATCATCATCATCATCACCAGCATCATCATCATCATCATCATCATCACCATCATCATCATTATCATCATCATCATCATCATCAGCATCATCACCAGCATCATCATCATCATCATCATCAGCATCATCATCATCATCACCAGCATTATCATGATCATCACCAGCATCATCATCATCATCACAAGCATCATCATCATCATCATCATCATCACCAGCATCATCATCATCATCATCATCATCATCATCAGCATCATCATCATCATCATCATCATCATCATCAGCATCACCATCATCATCAGTATCATCATCATCATCATCATCATCACCAGCATCATCATCATCATCATCATCATCATCACAAGCATCATCATCATCATCACAAGCATCATCATCATCATCATCACCAGCATCATCATCATCATCATCAGCATCATCATCATCACCATCATCATCATCATCATCATCAGCATCATCACCAGCATCATCATCATCATCATCATCACCAGCATCATCATCATCATCACCACCATCATCATCATCATCATCATCATCATCATCATCTGAACGTTTAACAACTTCCAGGTGTTGGGACCCCTTCAACCAGGGACACGGTCGCTTGTCAGGTGCTTGCTGAGTTTCTGGAGGATCAATCGCCCTTGCCTTGGAGGTGACTGGCCCGTAGATGTTCCGGTAGAAAAAAAACAATCCATTGGGGATTTCTACGACTTTGACCATTGGACAACACATCCGCTTGATTTTGGGATCGGCCAAATTTCACAAGATGGCTTTGGGTGTCCGATTTTGTCCGGAAATGGGAGATATTCACGGTCGCTTCGCGACGAAAACCGCCCGCACCAAGTGTAATGGATTCGGGAAGTCTAAGGAGTTCGTCGTGCTTCAGACTTGTGTTCCCTGTGTTGGGCTTATATGGAACCTATTTGGTTAACCAATTGGTGTGGGGCCATCGGGCATATTTTTCAAGGCCCCCAGAAGTTGCAGTTTTACACTATTTGATCAAGGTTACCGTCAATAACACTCACATATGTTGGAGGATGTTTGGCCATATTGAACGTTTTTTAAGCACTTATTGGGCACTAGCTTCGTATGAGGCTATCTTGGCCCCATATGAGGGTATGTTGGCCCCATTTGAGGCTATGTTGGCCCCATGTGAGCCTATCTTAGGCTCATGTTGGGCCTATGTTGGGCCAATTTTGACCCATTTTAGGCCTATATTGGCCCAGATCAAAATTTTTGACCCCTTTTGAAAAACATGCAAAAACACAGGATTCTAGAGCAAAAATGCCCCCCCCTCAAGCTAAAGCTTATTAGCTACAATGCAATTGCTAACGGTTCACGCAGGCACACAAATAAAGGTGCCTCGGCACCTTCGGTGCGGGCGGATTTTTTCCCGTGACACCATGAAATCATGGGAAACATGATGTGAAACATGGGGAAACTCTCCCGTGAAGTCCGAAGAAACAGACCCAAGGATGGACTTTTTGAGTTCCAGTGGGGATGGGTCGATGCAATCAGCAGAATTCTGCAGTGAGCAATCTGTCTGCACGATGCTACCACTATTTTGTTTTGGTACCCTTCGTTAATCAAACATGGCAACTTGGAAATTCCGTAGAGATGGAGGTTTTAACATGCTTTAACGGGAAAATCATCTCGAAATGGGGGAAATTCCATTGACATCTTTGATTACCGGAGGGTATTTGAACCTGGATAGAGAAGTCACAACTTTGACAAAATGGGTTTGTTTGGAAGGTGCATTTTTCAAGTGGCAATCTTCACAGGGAAATGCACTCGTCGATCAGATCAACTGGTTTCACCCGGAAGAAATCGCTTAACAAATGCGTGGTGCTTACAATTATATAGGTGACTGATCATCGACCAAACATATCCAAACCCGGTCCAAACATGATCCCAACATTTCCTGCTTGGGTCAGGAAAGCCGGAAAGCCAAGTCTTTTTTTAGGGTTTTCCTTCAAAAACTCAGTCACTTGAAGCAGGCACGATGCCTCCACTTTCGACAGCCCTCATGGGCTAGGCTAGACACGGTTGGAATTTGCGGGCTGGGCACAAAGGGACACTGGCTGCAACTGAGAGGGGATAAGCAACCAAGATCAGTGCATGACCAATCAATGTAGATGGGTCAACATTATGTACCCCGAACATGTTGATCTGGACAAAAATGAACCGTCCATTTGTGTCATATCGTATGACCGGAACTAACCTTCACCCGCAGCCAATTAACGAAACACACAGTGATATCCTGCGCCACTGGTCCATTCCTTCAAACATCTACAGAATCACGTGATACATTTGTTATGGTATGTAGATATATGTAAACAATCCACATCCATAGTTAAACATCCATAGTTAAACATCCATAGTTAAACATCCATAGTTAAACATCCATATATGCATTCACATTAGATATTATAGACACATCCATAGTTATAGACACATTGACCACCCATCCAGAAGCTCACGCTCTGAAATCTCCAAGTTTTCTAAGCAAAGGCACAAGGCTAAGCAACGCCCAAGTGGAAAGCTGTCCCTTTATGGGAATAATTCATACTGTAATAATTCTATATGATAATGGAATTGTTTTTTCCTCAGCCAATGCAAGTTCTTGAAATTTCCCCCATTTTAGATGATTTTCCATCTGTAAACCTCCAACAGTAGGGGATTTGCCATTGCCGTGGGGTGCCGCCGCGTTACATCCAAATTGGCGAGGCGGATCATCATTTTCAACTAGTGACTAGTTCCCAAATTTGCTTCGCAAACTGCTCCCAATGTCATCTTCAATTTTGGCTAGTTAACTGAAGGTCATACTGGGGAATGGCTTACAAGTATATACTCCCATTTTGTGAGAGTTAAATACTAAAAATGACCAAATTTGGGAAAGATATGTGGTACCCAAGAAGTCATGACCCAGCCATACCCTCCGACCATGGGAAATCCCCAAAAATGCACAGCTTCACAGGGCGGGACAGCTGGTTGGTTGAGCTCCACGTGCCCGACGGATCGCAGAATGGTCGGAGGGAATGGCTCATGGCAACTCGCGCCCATGCTGGGAAGTGGGGATGGTTGAGTCAAAAATATGGGATTTTCACAACTTAGGCAACGGAAGCCCCAAACAGATTTTTTATGATTTTTTGACGACTAAGACAAGTTGATCTGATCACTATTTTAATTGGATTCCATTGGATTCCACTTTTCATTCCTTTTTGGGAATTACTATGTATTATAAGGGATTTAACCATGAACATTTGGGTGATAAATTCTACTAAAATCATCGGGATTTAATCATCCAACAGTACGGGAAAGAACCATCAACAATGTACAATGTATATATATAGTGTACAGTATATATATATACACATTATATATATATACATATATATATAGATAGTGTATATATTACATATATGTATATGCACATGGGTATAGCTCAAAAATGGAGTACTGAGTACCAATGGAACCCTTAAATTGGTTATGTTTAGCAACAGACCATCCATTTTGAGGGGCTGAAGGTTTGCCACCAGCTATTCCAGCTGATGGTTGGTCAACAATAACCCGTTGGCTATTTCAAGGTCGCTACCGGTTGCCAACCTACCCGGGGTATTTTTTTAGGGCTCCACCTGGAAATCCTATTCAAAATCCCATTGAATCCCATTCCGTTCACGGCCATCGTGGAATGTTTTGGATCTCATGGCACATGTTTGCCGAGGTCGGCGACAAACCTGCGGCGAGCGTGACGATGCGTGACCTGTGCAAGGACGCTTTTTTTGATGGAGCGGTCGGAGCGGTGAGCAGATTTATTCTCAAAAAACTTGGGAAGCAAAAACTGGTGGGATTTACTGTGTGGATTTATAACCTTTTATCATCAAATATGCATTTTTCACCATTTTAACTACAATGTAGTTTTGTAATTTTTAGGGTAAACACAGTTCTTGATATGACAAGAACGATCCTTATATCACTTCCTACAAGTATACAATATGTCAATAGGTATACACAATTTATGGCAATCGGGGAAGAGTTGCGTTTTCGTCGGGGGATTTCTGGGATCCTCCTGACGAAACCGACGAGCGATTCTCTATCTTGGAGTTTCGTACTAAAGATGACTGAATTTGGTGATGTTTGTTCCGATCCATTCCCAACTGGATCTAAAGATCGAATTTTAGTGGATGTCACAAATAAGGAACAGGTTGTTGATTTGGTTGATGCTGAGTATTGATGCCACTAGTCATTTGCGGGGTGTAAGTAGCTGTATCATCTCTCTACATATGATAGGTGGAAGTAGGTTTATACTCTCTTTATAGAAGTACGTATTGATATAATATATGTATAATTATGTATATATATATATAGACACACACACATATATATATATACACATAACAGTCATGCGTATGTATATATATATATACACGCACATACACACATCCATATCTATAGACACATACAATTCCCCAGTGGCTCATATTTTTTCAGCATTGGCAGACGAAGAAAAACTCGCTGAGAGCTGTTTTGAGGCCGTGTCGGCACGGCTGCCATCCTTGGGTTTCCGGGCCACAAAATGCTGGCTTTCGAGCGTGCAGGACAGGGGTTCCGAGATGGTTGGAATGGTGATTTGGCCCATCATATGGATTTGGCCGATGCAAAGTTTTTTTTTCGCGAAATGGTTTTGCCGGGATATTGCATTATAGAATGTTTACTGTATACATCTGGATATTTCTTGTTGAGGTTTGCGATATCACTGGAATGATGGTGTTTGGGTAACTCTCCCATCTTACGGGCACTGTGAAGTAGCTGGTGAACGATGATTCATTTTGCCAGACTTTTCCTCTCTGCAAGTTGCATTTATCTCAAGAATTCCTAGGCCCTTTTTTCAGGTCCAATCCTCATTTTTTTTTGGGAGACCTTGGGCAGTTGCAGGCTGGCTTGCCTCATTGGTCCCCTGCTGGCATGGATCTTTTGGGTGCTGGGACCCCTCTATCCTTCTCCCAAAGGATGATTTTTGCCTATTGACCCCCTAGTGATGATTCCCTTGACAATTCCTTGTGGATCTTCCAGCCGGCCAGTGAACCATTGAATCACCTCAGTCCATTGACTCCCGAGACTCAAATCACCAGTTTTCCGAAGGTTTTGAAACTATTCTTCAATACTTTGGCCAAACTTTGGCTATCCAGTTTTTTTTTAAAAAAGATCGACCCCAAGTTTTCAAACTCTCTATTTTTTTTGAAATTATCTTACTTTTATTGGAAAAAGGCTGCAACTTCATCGTCCCGGTCATCTTGAAATAAGTTGCTTTAATTGCAACCATCCAACGAGTTCGATTTACCATAAACCCAACCAGTTAACCCAGTGATAAACCAACTTAGTTCACACACATTTATCTTAAGTTGCTTAGTTGGTTTTCCCATTGAACATCCCCATAAAAAATCCCCATGTATTAGCCCATATTAGCCGGATCTTACCAGTAGTACGGCCGTGTGAGCGGCCCCAGATCATGGTAGCCGTCTTAGTCTGTGCGAAGGGTACCAATACCAATACCAATTTCAATAACAATAACAATAATAATAATGATATTGATAGTAATAACAACAATAATAACAATAACAAACATATTCCCATGAATTTCTCACCCATTTTCGTGAAAAAACGGAGGATGCCATCATCCATTTGCCGTCCACAGGATCCCCAGAAAGTGGCCGAGTGCTCCTTGGAGTTGGGTCACGAGTTGCTTCGCGATCTGCGATGGACGCAGGCCGAGTGTCTGGAGCTGCACCAGGTGCGCCGATTGGGTTTTGGGGTCGAAGAAATGTCAGGCAGCGAAAGGTGCGAAATGCCGCAACATACAGCAAAAGATAGGTTTGGGAATCAAATAGATCTTGGGTATAGGTCAAAATTTACAATCCTGGGGACCAGATTTAGCTCCGATTTTAGTATTAATCCATCCTCTGTGGTCGCGGTACCCAATTTTGATACATACCCACCTGATAATTTCACCAGCTAGCTCAATGGGAAACCACCAATGGAAAGCAATGCAACTTCTTGGGATTTGACCAGCCAAAAATTTCATCATTTGGAAGATACGAAGGATGATACGGATGCGATAGAAAACTCATGAAAACTCCAACATTGGATGGTTCTTGGATTACTTTAGATCCAGAAAATCATCCAAGGATAAGGGGCCATAAGGGGCCTTCTTTTTGACTTTAGATGCCGATTCCCTCAGGAGGGAATCATTTGTGTGTGGGTCATATCCAGCTGCGCATCGCCTTGGCTTCGAACCATTTGGTGAATGGAGCATTGGCGAATTCTGCTGTTGATGTCAAATTAGATATGGTAGCCCAAAATTTGACAATCCTTATTTTACCTACCGTACATGGATGGCAATTTTTGGGCTTAACCCATCTGGCTTTCCCCCATTTTGTATATGTATTATGTGCATGCCAGTGCATGCATGGTTATATATGTGTACAGTATGTATTCGGTCGCTGTATGTCATCATTTTTTTTGGCCATGTTGGCCCAAAATAGGACGACAATGAACTGATGTTGATAACTAGAGCAAACATAGAAATAATCGCAAGGATAATCAGAAAAGTAGTAATCCCTTCTCCTGTTCATATTGAACAACCCCTAGAAATCATGTTCAACAGGAGATGAGATCACATATTTAAGGACCTTTGATAATGGGGGTGTTGAGTAGGACTCGGAATGGGCTTAAGCCAAAGCGTAATGATAGTCAATCGTTATCATCAGAAAAGTAATGATGTCATATATACGTGTATATATATACATATATATATATATACATATTCATATGTGTGTATATATATATAAATCATAAATACATAAATAATATATATATATAATATACTATATATATACTATATATATAATATACAATATATATATATGTATATATATATATTTAGAAGGCAACCTTGAAGTGATGAAACAAAAAACGGGCGTCGTTTTAGGTCAGTTTCAGCCATCGTCATCGTCCTTGGCTGGATTGGGAGGCACGGGGTTGGTCATTTACACTCCACGACGTGCCAAAGACATGTTGGTGAAGCGGATAAAAAAAGGGACTTACCACTAGTAATTTGTTGTTCCAAGATAATGTCCAACCTGATAAACGTTCAAACATGAGGTGATACCAACTGGTCTAATGGCTTCAGCCTAGTAGACACTGATGACAGACGGTGAACCGGGCAGTTGTTAGCATCGTCGGATGCTGGTTGGGGGTGCAGTTGGGTACAGCCATGACATTTTGAATCATTTTGATCACCATAAGTTGGGATATACCCCCTATCATTTATAACTATGGTTACCCTCTGGTAAACTAACATAACTATGGAAAATCACCATTTTGAATAGGTAAATCCACTTTAAATGGCCATTTTCAATAGCTATGGTTATATAACCGCGGCTAGAAGTGGAACTGCACCCCGACGCTATGGCATTGTGGTTGGGCTCTATGGAACTGGGCCATGTGAAACTACCCCCTGATTGATTACCAGGGGATGCTACTACCCAATATTAATGTTGGAAGTCTGCGCATGCTCGCTCAGAAAGGCCGTTTTCAGAACATCTATATCTTAAACGGGATTCACCATTTTTTATAACCATCAAAGAACCATGAAACAACCATTAAATATCAATTAAATAACTATTAATAGCCAATCTGTGGGATTTCAAGTTTGGGCTTTGAACGCCCAACTGCTCTCAGGAGGGTGAGCCCCTTCCGCCTCCCGGTGAGGTGCGGAAGATCTGGGTTGATTGAATCAGTTGAATGTTTATATATATATACACATACAGACAGAACACATAATATAACATAATATAACATTATATAATATTAATTAACATTACATAATCTTATATAACATTATATAATATTATATAATATTACATAACCTTATATAACATTATATAATATTATATAATATTACATAACCTTATATAACATTATATAACATTATATCACATTATATAACATTATATAACATTATATAATATTATATAATATTACATAACCTTATATAACATTATATAACATTATATAACATTATATAACATTATATAATATTATATAACATTATATAACATTATATAACATTACATAACATTATATAACATTATATAACATTATATAACATTATATAACATTATATAACATTATATAATATGATATAATATTACCTAACCTTATATAACATTATATAACACTATATAATATTATATAATATTACATAACCTTACATAACATTATAAAACATTTATAACATCATATAACATTATATAACATTATGTAACATTATATGTATATATGTATATATGTATGTATATATGTATATATGTATATATGTATATATGTATATATGTATATATGTATATATGTGTATATCTGTATATATGTGTATATCTGTATATATGTATATATGTATATACGTGTATACATACATATGTACGTATTTTTCTCTAAATCGATGTATACATATGTGCATAGACAAACACACATATATATACACATATGTAAACATATGTATTTAATGATGTATGATGTAATCTGTACGTATATATATAGACTTGTAGGTGTATATATATATATATGTATGATTTCATGAAAATATGTATATGTATATACCTGTATATAGATATACATGCGCACACATAAGATATTCAATGTTATGACGATGCACTGTCGATTTTGAATCGGGTATATCTTTTTCATTGCAACATACACCCATCCCGCTTTCCACCAAACAGACATGTTGATGGGTTATCACTCAGCTCATTCTTTGCGCGGCTTCACTGGCATGGCCCAACTTGCAACTAAGAGGGGCCCCTCACGTTTTTTTTTTTTAATTTTCCCTAGGTTGGATTGCTTTGAAACCATGTTTTTTGCCATTCAGATTCCAAACGCAGGTAATATCCTGTCAGAGTCTATCATCAAGACTTCCATCTGGCTGGGGTATGGGTCTTCAAACCCTGGTACCTAGGTGAAACCCGCCAAAACGGCTGGTCTTGTTGGATATCCAGGCCGCCATTCATATGGTAAGACCATGCGTATTTGACCGGACGATCTGGGAGGATTTTTGTCAGGAACCACTACACTTATTTTGGTTACCTGACTGTTTTTATTGACTCCTTTCCCATTATAGTTAAATCCTCTTTTGAATGGGTATATACCAATTTCTCATGTCCCAAGCTTCATTGCAATTTTGTTGCTTTAAAGCATGCATTCCTTTGTTCTTGGTCCAATTCTCATCAGGGCCCACAGCTGGTGGTGCTCATGCGGCGTGTCTCGACGCGTTGTCTGGACATCGACGCATCCAGGTGTCACCGGGAGATGAAGTTGAGGGTATGACAACGAAACAGAGAGCTGTAGATAACTACAGATACTGTACAAAATGGAGGTTTCTTCCTAAAATGGGGGATCCCCAAAACCCTAGGTTTCAATACTAAAACGGTCCAAGTTTGGATGATTTGGGGGTACCCCTATTTTAGGAAACCTCCAAATATCAATGTGTGCACACATATATATATATATACTGTATATATATATATATATGGTACAGTATGTTTTCTTTAGTATGATTGCAGTGTACGATATGCTGATTTTATGAGTCATATAGTTTAATTGTACAAAACTATGTATATATATAGTCATATAGTTTAATTGTACAAAACTATGTATATATATATACATAGTATATGATATATGATATACATATATACATATGATATGTTTTGTACGGTGTGTGTTTCTGGTAATCTGAGAACATGCGTCCCATATTGAGATTGCCTGTGTCCCATTGCACCGCACCGCGCGGTAGCTTTAAACTACAGGGTGGTGCCCCAGGTCGTTAGCTAAGTTGGTGCTAATAAGTCCAATATCTATCGTTTATAGGTGACATATCTGTAGTTAATGGGATTATAACCCATTTACAACTGGGGGGCACCACCTTGTAGAACCGTTAACAAACTGTAAAACTGTACCAGAACCCAAATAAACCCAACCCTAATTAGATGATGCATCAACTATAAACATACCCTAAACAAATCCTAAGTCATTAAACCCTAAGCCAATCCCCAATGAACCTAAAACTAGCTCTAAAGTAACTGAACCCCCAATGAATATGCTGATTTCCACAAAACCCTGGAAAGCGACAGGGCCCCCCAAAAGCAATAACCATAACAATAGCAACTACTCAGATGCAAAGGATTTTGACGGGAGCTCATATATGTGTAGATATGTATATATATATATGTATATATATATATATGTACATACATATATATATATATATGTATATATATATACATCTATGTATATATATATATATATGCATATGTATATATGTATATATGTATATATGTATATATGTATATATGTATATATGTATATATGTATATATGTATATA